CAGCACGCGCCACCCAATAATGATTTCCAGCACACAATGGCCACCAAAATCTCCGGATACCAATCCATTGGACTATTGTGTCTGGAGTATTTTGGAAAACAAGATTAGCACTAAAAAGTATCAAAGTGTCGATCACCTCAAGCAAGCGCTTCGCCGGGAATGGGCAAAAATACAACCAGCAGAGCAAAGGTTCTCTCAACGTTTAAAGGCCATAGTTCGAGCCACAGCTGACCAATTCGAACAAATCTAAACATATTCTAAAATTTGATGCTATTTCCGACGAGGCTCTGAACAAAAGAATTCTGAATACTTAATATTAACCATGGAAAAAATTTCATCAATTTTGGTTAATAAAATTGTTTTTTTTTTTTTTTTTTTTTGAAGAATTTGGCAATTTTTCCGAATTCGCTGTGAGATTTCTTTAAATATCTCTCCAAAATAGTCTCGCACTCTCAAACCAATTTTTATGGCTTTATATAGCCATGTTCAAAAGAACCTCAATGAATGAATTGAGATGAAGCTTTATTTGAGATGAAGCTTTAAAATTTCGTAGAGAGCGATAGAGCGATAAACCATAGTATAAAAATGTGCCTTTTTTGGTCTTTCGGACATATTCCAATTGCTGAACTTATTGTCCTTAATTTTCTGAGTAACAGTCGAGCTATTATTTGTTTATAAAATATTATTTTTCCCCCTAACTCCTTCTACTTATTTTCCAAAAATGTCCCAGTTTTTAAAATTTCAACTCTTTTGAATTCCCATCCCCTTTATATGGCTATCTCCATTGTTTGTCACACAAACAATCTCTTATCTATCGATTCTTTCCCTTATTTTCAAGATATAAAATCCATTTGATTCTCTAGTGCATTCAACCATGCAAATGGACTGCAATGTGAGACAAAGGAAAACAGTTTGATCCTGACGATGAACAAAAAAAAACACTGCAAAGGCATTCAATTGGAAATGACTAACAAGCGAACAAACAGCAGACTGTCGACAACAGATTTTTAAGTTCCAACTGGTCCTTTTTCTTCTTCTTCGTCTTCTTCTTGAAACTAGAATGCAACAAAAACGACAATGCCCGCATAAAAATTTATTTCAAGATTTAATTTGATATCTCTGTGATGATTTTCCATTACATGTGTTTGTTGTTATTGGTCTTTGTCGTCTTCTTCGTCTTCTTCTTCTCCTTCAGTGATTTGATTTGGCTCCAATTCAAAAATCGTCATTAAGATACTTAACAGCAGTATCTGCTGGATAAAATATCTAATGACTGGCATTATTAGCAGTGGTGCATCGAATGCGCCACCACCCGTTGTGTTTGATTGGATATTAAACGAGTCATTCGTTTATTTATTTATTCTGCCAAGGAGGTGGCACACACACACACACGCACTGTCACTGGCACACAAATACAACGACAACAAATATTGGCATTCATGTTGTCGATTGCAAGTCCTTGAGGTTTAACCATGTGTGTGTTCAGAGATATCAGAATAATACAAATCGTTATCTAAGCCACACATCGACACACACACACTCACACCATCCAATGGAATTAGCATTTTGGTGAAAGGATGTGTGTGTGTGTGCAAGTGTGGTTGAATTATAAGAATCGCTTATTCATAGCTTTGCTTCTATACGTCCGCTGTGGTTTCCTTTCGTCCGACCCATGAAATGCCGGGATTTAGTTTCTCCAAAAACCGGACTTATGATTTAAGCAACTCATAACGTGTCATTCACTTCATCGTCATTCGACGATTTGCTAAAAGCATTACCATGGCGAGTTGTGACTTTCCATTATGGAAATTGTTGCAATTTCCATTCAAATATCCGAGCATTTGCATAAGCAATCGTAATATGCAAATAATCGAAAATTAAGTTCAATACCATTGATGATGATTTTTAAAAAATTCGATTTGAATTGCCATTCAATGTCAAGGACACAACATGCGGAAAATAGGAATGGTAATTTTTGTAATTAAAAATATGACAGGATTTTGTTTAAAATTTCATAGATAAGCATAAACAAATTATAAAATAGTTTAGGCGAGTTTAGGCGACAGATGGAGAAGTTTTCAATGGCTAGACCGAATGGTTTAATGGATTAAATATTGAAATTATGTGTGACGAACTCTATTCAAATGGAAGCGCGAGTAAAGAGAGAGAGAGAATTTCCGTATACTCTGGGATTTAAGAGAATAAATATGATTTTTTCAGAGGAGCGAGGCTGATGATTTTGTAACGTAATTCGGGTTAAACTTAACCATATAGAGGCTTTTGTATGCCATAATGTAAGTTAATTACTGCCGAATTTGGGTTTCTCCGTTGAGAAAGCAGTCGTTGTCCCGCAGTTTGTAAAAAAATAAAATGCTCGTGTTTACTTGCCATAGAGAGAGATGAAATTGTGCACCTTCGGTTGGCCACCAGAACTCAAGTACCGGCCATGCTGATGGTGTGGGCCGCCATAATAGCCGATGGTCGCTCTCCGCTCGTATTAATCGACCATGGCATCAGAATAAATGCAGAAAATATTCTGGAGGGTTTATTAAAGTCTTGGGCACGCAAACATTTTGGCCGCAAAATTTCAACAGAACTCAGCACCATCGCACCCAGCAGGCGCCACCCAAGAATGGTTACAAAATGAGGTTCCTCGATTCATTTGCAGCGCACCGTGGCCACCAAAATCTCCGAATACCAATCCGTTGGACTTTTGTGTCTGGAGTATTTTGGAAAGCAAGGTTGGCACCAAAAAATACCAAAGTGTCGATCACCTCAAGCAAGAGCTTCGCCGGCCCAAAAAATGGAACAAAATACTGCAGAGCAACATTCGGGCAACGTGTGACGGTTTCATTGGGTGTCTGAAGGCCATATTTCGTGCCAAAGGTGACCAATTCGAACACATCTAAACTTATTCTAAAATTTGATGCCATTTCCAACGATATTTTATCACTCTGTATATGGAAGCTGTAGCTATATCTCAATTGATTTTCACAAAAATTGATGCTTCCAGACTGAATTTGGTTGAATGTGCCAAAATTCAGGTCATTGAAACTGATATTGACCATTTGGTGCACAATTAACCTCAAATCCGTTGAAGATATATATGGGAGCTATATCTAAAATTGAACCGATTCTCACCAATTTCAATAGGGGTCGTCCTTGAGCCAAACAAATATTGTTTGGAACATTTGATGTCAATCGGATAGTAAATGCGACCTACATTTTGTTCACAAAAATACATGGGCAGACGAACGGACGGACAGACTGACATACATAAATCGACTCAGAAAGTGATTCTATGAAGATTCTCAAAAGTAGCTATGGGTCTATCTCACTTTCTTCTCCATGTTACAAATAAATGCACAAAGACATAATATCCTTACCACTATAACGTGTAGTGTGCAAAAAGAAGTCCATTTTCACACAAATTTTTTTACTATAAAAATATAAACTCATACCAACAACAATGTTCCACGTATTCACCACATCCTTATTCAGAAGGATAATCACAATTTTATTCAATGAAAATCCCATTTAAGCAAACGCTCAGTACTTGGAGACTCTGTGTACATCATGGTGGCTGAGTAAATCGTAAATTCCCCGGAAGAGATGGAACACTACTGGAGACTCGCACGCACACACATACACACTACTTGCCACACACAACTACAAGATTGGCCAACCACAACAACAACAACTGCATCTGCAGCTTTTCGTGGAAAATTCACAGCTACACCGCAAAAATGCTTTTAAGCAGCAACCACAAATCTTGGCCAAAAAGAAATGGTGTGGAAGGAAAATATTGGGCATATTTGGCAGCAGGGAGCGTATTTGCATTGCTGGGCAAAGCGAAAAAAAGAATCTTCTTCAAAATAATTCGACATAATTGTCTGCAGTGAAGTGTTTTCTTTTATCCTTAATTTAATTTTTTGTATTTTATTGCCATGTGACCTGCTGTGATTTAAGAATATTTATGGCCGGCTAGGTAATGGAAAAAAGGTGTATATGCCTGGGCAAAAGCGTGGAAAATCTCTTGTTCATATAACACTGCGTTTCGAACAACAAAGTCAACCAATGTTGTTGTTGTTGTTTTATTGGTTTCGACTAAGTCATGCGTCATTGCGGTAGGCTTTGGTGTCAAAAGCAATTCATAGTTGACATTCTGGTGGCTATGGAATGTAAATTGGATTATAAGAGGGCTGGAAGGAAAGTAAAGCAAAACAAAACAACAACAAAAAACAATAAGCGAGCTATCAATGGACTATTTTTGTGTGCGCTAAAGCCCTAAAAAGGACTTTGAAAAACCAAAACGAAAAGGAAAACACATAATGTTTCTTTAAGTAGGCGATAATGTATATCCAAATCCTAAAAGTATGCTATTGTAAGTTGATATTACCATTTATTGCCTACATTTAGGGGTGCACTTATATTCATTAGCAATAAGTATTGTGGTTTGTTAATTATGTCATTATCATGGTCATTAATAATAAATTTCCCCGCCACATTTCACCACTTGTAAGTCCGCAACATAAAAATTAAGACCCCCCCCCCCATTTTTTACTTCATCACACATTTCATGCCAAAAGTATTTCTCTGAGATATTTCTTAATTAATACTTATCAGAGCTAATGAAATAAGCCATAACTGTCATCATAACAATTATAGCTGCTATTCGGCTGTTGTAAATACACATCGGCATAAGTAGGGATTGCTGTAATATGTATAAGTGGTCCGGGGCCACTATTCACAAATATTCCAGGCACACATAGGCCATCAGTCTGTCAGCCAGCCAGCCAGCCAGTCCGCCTTCTCGGCCGCTTGGCAAACGTAAAGATGCTACTGAATAATTCATTCATCATTTGGCCCTCAGAATCCGTAGCTCATCTTTGCCGAAAAACGCCAGTCTTGTGGTTTTGTTTCGTAGTCTTTGTTTTCCATGTTTTGTGATTTCTATGATGATTTCTCTCTCTCTTTTCCTTTATTTTTCTTTCTCACAGTGGCTACCAATATGGATACCAGTGGATGTAGGTATTCACAGCGGTCGTTTGTGTTATTTTTGTTATCTTTACCTTCTACTCCCATTAATTATTCACGTGGCTAAAAACAGTAGTAATTCTAATGAAAATTTCAAAAGAAATCATCTTTTCTAAGAGCATTTTTTGGGGGGAAAATATTTTCCTGCATATTCATTAAAATCAATTTGAATGTTTTTTTTTTTGCCATAAAAAATTAAAGGCGAAATGTATACCATTTCAATATAAAATTTTGTTATGGGTCATGGGAATTGAAGAGTTGAAATGAAAAACATTGAGGTCAGCAAAAAATATATTTAAAAATGAAAAATAATACCCAATATTAAAAATAATGAACATAGCATAAAATTGCAGCATACTTTGAGGAGTTATCAAATTTCTCTTTGTACAAAATAATACTTCCTTTTTTGCATCCTCCACCTTAATTTCAATGATTGTATAAATTATCATTCAATTTAAAATTTTCAAATACTTCCTTGCACACAATTCCAACAATGTAAGGCAGTACTCCTCTCCCATGGAAATAAAGAAGGTCAATGTCTGGAATTTATTTCACCCAAAGCTATGTGCATCATGAACCAACTACAAATAATTGAGATTGAATACGTTGTCGTTTACACGATGAGGATTTAGTAGAACTACCATACAATTTGCTCTAGAATATCAAGCAGCGTTCTTTGTCAATCAATCACAGCGAAGTAAGTCCTTCAGCAATAGATAGCATCATTCAAACAGCAGCCACAGCATGACTTTTAACTGAGCCATAGAGAAAAAGAAGATGTTTTCGATATTTCGAGAACGAGAAACAACAACAACAACTCTTCAGACCACAAAAGTTATTAAATCACAAAAAGAAAACATTTCCTTTGAGCACTGAAGAGTTGAAGATACTAAAAATACTCGCAAAGGAATCGAAACTTCTACAACAACGCTTAAGAATGATATGCCAAGGAAAATAGCAAAAGAAAGCGGATTCATGTTGAACCATGAAAATTAACATAAATCAAGGCTGTCAGTTAGGAGAATCAAAATGTCAAATAAATAAAGAGTTCATCGACAATAGAAGAAATAGGAAAAATCTGGCGGGGAAGATATTTCCTATAAAAAATGTTATAAAAAATGTAAGTTCTCTACAAAATTTCATCGAAATAAAATACCTAAAGAGAATTTAATACGAAAAGTCACATTTGATAAATTTTTCTGTATCGAGGATGATTTTTTCTAAAAAGAAATTCATCAAAGATGCCATTTCCCAGAGAAAAATTAATCGACTAGAAACTTTTCCGGAAAAAAGTACATCTAAATCCCTCTTTCCAGGATAATTCCACCGAAGATAATCTTTCCATGAATTTTCCTAGAGAAAAATGCATCAAAAAAAAAAACATCATCAGAGAAAAAAAACATATCCCGCAGAAATGTCAATCGGCGTGGAGAAATGTGCTTTCCTGGAGAGGTAATCAGAGTTGAATTTTCCCAGAGAAAATTTTATCGTCCTTAACCTTTCCTGAAGAAAGGTTCATCGGATATGACTTTTCCCACATAGAAAAGTTCACCGGAGATGACTTTTCCCCTATACAGGGTGAGATTTTTTTTTTTGAATGAAAACAAATAATGTCGGAAATAGCATCAAATTTTTGTATAAGTTCAGATTTGTTCGAATTGGTCACCTTTGGCACGAACTATGGCCTTCTAACGGCCGAAGGAAACCGTCACACGATGCCTTAATGTTGCTCTGCGGTATTTTGGTCCATTCCCGGCGAAGCGCTTGCTTGAGATGATCGACACTTTGATATTTTTTTTTTTTGTGCCAACCTTGCTTTCCAAAACACTCCAGACACAATGGTCCAACGGATTGGTATTCGGAGATTTTGATGGCCATTCCGCGCTGAAAATGAGTTGAGGATCGTAATTTTGTAACCATTCCTGGGTGGCGAGTGCAGAGTGGGATGGTGCTGAGTCCTGTTGGAATTTCCAAGTTCTGCGGCGAGAATGTTTGCGTGCCCAAGACTTTAATACACCATCCAGAATATTTTCGCGATAATATTCATCACCATGGCCGGCGCTTGAGTTCTGGTGGCCAACCGAAGGTTGACATTTTCAGCTGACCTCTTTGGCAAGTAAACACGAGCGGATCATTTTGTTTGTTTTCAAACTGCTGGAGTTCACCACTGCTGGCAGTTCACCACTTTCGGCCAAGCGAAGCAACTCTTTAGCTCTTTTGAGTCTATTTTCTTTCTGTTGCGGTGTAGGTTCTTCCACTTCTTGAAATTTCAGTGGCTTCACCCCGAGCTCATTTTTCATTATTTTCTGAATGGAATATTGCGATGTGTTCAGCTCATGAGCCAGTTTTCGGCCACTGCCACGCGGTTTTCGATCAAGTCACTTCTTTAATTTTCGAATCATTTCTACTGATGTTGCTGTTTTCTTCCGTCCACTTCCTGGACGTCGGGCTACGCTACCAGTATCACGGTAATGAGACATAAAAGATTTATTCACATTTAAATGTAAACAATATAATGAGCTCTCACTGGATTATTTTAACATCTGTCGAACGAGTGGCTTAGAAATGACAGCAGTCTGAAGTTGGTTGCATTTTTTTCATCGCACCCTATATAGAGCACATTTTTCATTTCATTTCCGATAAACTTTTCCCCTAGAGAAAAATTCTTCGAAATTGACTCCTGACATAAATTTCATCCAATTTCGAAATGTTCCGCGCCATACCAATCATGCACACAATGTTAGATTCCAGAACAACACACACAAAAGAAACTTCAAAGAAAAAACTCTGCGTCGATATTTCATTTCGCACAGAAATCTCTTTTCGCCTGTCATCCAATGCAAATTTACACAAAACATTAAGCTGGCATTGATTGGCAAAAAAAAAACTCTTCTGGTTTGCAAGGCAAATGGCGAAAAGCAACAGAAGCGAAAAAAAAACTGTTTACGAAAAACTTGAAGAGGTGAATGGATGGAAAAGCATGAAACCAATACACGCGCAGCAATAATTGCCTACAGATAGGAAACCCTTCAGCAGCCCTTCCTTTTCCACTTAGCCGCTCCTCAGCGATAATACCAGTAAAATCCAGAAAATTGATCTCAACACAAGAGTGTCAACATGTTAACGAGTTTCAATGCCAGGTTTTCGTTTCGGAAAACCAATGGCAAACCCCTTCAGCCAGGATAAACACAATTCAACATTTCACCAAGTCTGTCGATGGGTTTTAAGGCTTCAGCTATCATTTCTCTTTTCCGCCACAATTTGAGATAAGATTTTATACTCTTTCGAGTTGTTTTTGTTTCACACGACGTGAATAATATCAAACAAAAACTGTAGTATACATTAAGGCTGAATTAAATTATTTTTTTATATAACAACAATGGAAATTATTGAAATTCAAGAAAAAAAATTCACTTTTCAAAGGCATTTGTTCGCGTTTCCCCGAAGGCAAGAAAAAAATTATATTTCCTCATAAAATGTTTTTCGCATTCAACCTTTGCAAAAGGTCAAACATTCTTTTATTCCTTCCGGTCTTTTATGCCTGCCGCTACCCAAGAAATAATAAACCAGAAACAAATTCTTGGAAATGCGGTAAGCAACGATTATAACAATCTGCAATTTAAAGAAAACAGATTTAATCTGTTGCCTAAACTAGATTAAAACGGTATCTTAATTAGCATAACACTCTGGGCAAACAATACGAAATAATCTCAGGCGACACAATCTGCCTGCCTTTTGGCCAAGTCCACAGTTTTTTTTTCCGAAACGAAATAAAATAAACCAAAAATTCCAGCCAAGTTAGATCGCAAATATTTATTTTGTACTGCCATCTTGTTTGAATGACAAGATAATTGCATACTTCTAGGCGACAGCATATTGCATTTGCAAACCTCAGCATATTTTTAGGAGTTGTTTAAATATAAATTCATTAGCATAAATTGAATTGGACCATGTTTTTTTTTTTTGGGTGCGAGGGCACGAAAAGCAAACAGAATAAAAAGATTACTCGGCATGTGTTTGGGATTTGGCTGAGGTAGTGAGTGAGCCACAATGCATAAGGCAGGGGGACCGAAATAGCCATAAATATGTTTTTTAAAGGGACGTGAAGCCTAAATTGTCATGAATTCATGTCATTTGTATTGGAAAAGTTCCTTCACATGAAAAACACCATCCCCAATGAACTTTTCTACGTGAGAAAAGTCATTCCGAATGAATTGTTCTATATTGGAAAAATTCATTTCCAAAGCATTTTCCAATTTGCAAAAAATTATTTCCCATGAAATTTTCTACATGGGAATTCATTTCCGAAGAACTCTTCGTAATGGAATATCCTCAACTTTGGGGAAAATCATCTCCAAAAAATCTTCTGGAAGAAAGGAAAGCTGCGATGAAAATTAGCAATTAACGTATTTTCCAAAAGAGACAATACTTTTTAGGAATAAATTTACGGAAAAATTGTGCCAAAGATTTGGTTTCACATCATTTTAGAGTCATATGGAAAGCTACTTTTTCAGATTTAATATTTTACATTTTTGTAGCATACTTTAAGGAGCTCCCAAAAAATCAACTCAAATGTATCGGAATGCTACACAAACTATAAGTACACTTGTATTTATTCTATATTTGTAGCGTTCCTTTTTTAGATTAAAAATCTAGGGGTGCGCCTAAAAGTATGCTGTAAAAATGCAACTAAAAATTGTAAAAAAATTTACTTTATATGCGATTCTAATATAATGCGTAATCTAGCCTTAAGTTTCCTCCCCAATAGTCAACCACTTATGCAAGGGCCTCCCGTCAATATTTTTTAATCAAATACTGTTGCATACATTTAGGAGGTGCTACAAATCCCCCCCCCCCCCCAAAGGGGTTTTGCTTGTACAACGCCCATCGAATTGAATTGTGAAAGCAACAAACTATTTCCACTCGGATACGTCAAAAAGCAAACAAATTGTAGACAATAGCTTTCGGGCCTGGGCCTGAAACATAAAAG